GTTAAATTCCAGTAGAACAATACATTGTACCTTCTCAGTCTCACATTTTCCATTGACATGAAGTGGAATGATTATATTGAATCAATTGCTAAGTCTGCTGCTAGAAAAGTTGGTTCACTGTGTCAAACAAGACAATTTTTTTCCAGAATCCTTCTTGCATGTTTATAAATCTACCATTTGTTTGTGCATCAAATATTGCTGCCCCATTTGGTCTGGTGATCCTGCTATATATCTCAAGATTCTTGATGAAATTCAAAGAAGGATCTGTAATGAAACAGGTCCTGACTTGGTATGTTGACTTCAGTCATTTTCCGATAACCATGACATGGCTTCCTTGTTTATTTTCTATAAATATTTTTCATGGTAGTTCCAATAAGATTTCCTCTTTGGTAGCCTAACTGCATGAATTTAATCATAGTATAACATGGCTAGCCCAGCTCGAACTTGAGTCCTTTCTATGCTAGTCAGTACTGCTGCCAGTCAACCGATGGTTATCAACTGGCCGCTTCAATCTTTCATCTGCCCTGCCCTATGCTTCCCTTGATTACAGATAAGTGAAGACTGAATTTCATCCATGTTTGATTGTTGAATCAAGCTGTGACAGAACCATGCTACAAGATGGCAAAGAATGCTTCCACTGGTGAAAAGACAACATAACAAAATAACGAAGAAGGTCATTGGGTTAATTTTCAATTGGTTTATATAATTGTTGATACAACAAAATTAAACCTTCCCATTAAACTCCCTATTGTGACACTGTATCTCTTTCTTATAAAACTTGGAGTGGGTTAAAAACATACAAAGAAATAGGTCAGTTTGGAATTCTCTAGGCAGCAGGTCATGTGGGGTTCAGCAGTTCCTTCATCCGCTGCTGTCTCATTTCTGCTTATATGTATTTAGCCTAACTCCTACCACACCTCAGGACTCATCAATATTTATACAATTAATTATTTTCTCCAACCTTGGAGAAATGACACTGACCCTCAAACAAAGTGATCAGTTATTCAAAACAATAAATTCTTCTACAATAATTTCCGGTAACAGACTTTTGTGTTTAAAAATTATTTCTATTTTTCGGATGTCAAAGAATTTTCACATTCCTCAATCCTCAGGACATATTTTAGGCTGCTTACATTCTAGCTTTATGGATCGATAACAATCCTATTTGCCCATCAGTTTATCAGGAAAAAAATATTCCTCGTCTTTCCTTGCTCCATATATAAATTCATTTTTTCATCTTACCAATTTTAACATTTTTTTAACCCTTCCAATTTTCCAATTTCTATATGGGGTTTCACATGAACTCCTTTAACCCTAATTTCATACTACCAGTGTCACAATAGTGTTACAATAGTACTAGACTGACAACTAGGTTTCACCATTTTACAGTTGAAATAGCTATATGTAACCATGTAAGTTCTATTCTAATAGTTTCTTCTCTTGCCCATCTCGCCTGTGGAACTCTCTTCTGGTTATTTGTTTTACTGTTACCTACGATCTTCAAAAGTTTAAATGCAACATCAATTGCTATCTTCTCACTTCTTAATTCCTGTTCTTTTATTGTCATTTTTCCTCACTAACATTTTCTTCTTAAAGAATGAATCTTTACACTACAGTGGAAATATCGCCTTGCTTAAAATGAAACAAGTAAAAAAAAGATGTGATATAATTTCTCTGTGTAGGAAAAATTGTGAGAAATATAGATAAGTGATAAAATAATAAATGAAATAACAACAACAATAGGACAGAAGCTGGAATATACAAAATAGATTGTACAAAAGACCCACTGGTGTACATCAGCGAAACATCCAGAAACATTAAAAAGAAAGACTATATGAATATTGCAGAGATATGCTGCATAACAACACCTTAAATGCACTGGTTGCTCACATATATATATATTTATATGTATATAAAGAAATATAGTCTTAAGATGTGCTATATTCATGGGATAAAGTACTCAATATCAGAGATAGAGTGTGTGTAAATATAAAAGTGAACATAGAAGTCAACACTTAGAGGTGACAGTCTGTTTCATGCTAGATACAGTTGTGGCCTAACGATTGCATGTATATATATATATATATATATATATATATATATATGGGGGTGTGTGTATATATATATATATATATATATAATTAATTAAGAAATTGGAGACTTGGTATCTTGACTTCAGTCATTTTCCGATAACCATGTCATGGCTTCCTTGTGTATTTTCTATAAATATTTTTCATGGCAGTTGTTCCAATAAGATTTCCTCTTTAGTAGCCTAACTGTATGAATTTAATCATAGTATAACACAGCAAACCCAGCTCGATGTTGTCTCCTTCCTATGTTAGTCAGTACTGCTGCCAGTCAACTGATGGTTATCTACTAGCCGCTTCGTTCTTTTATCTGCCCTGCCCCATGTGTTCCTTGATCATAAAGATGTGAAGACTGAATTTTGTCCATGTTTCCTCCCTGGTATTATCCATTCTCCAATTTGTTAATTAATTATTACTTGCTCTGTTTAGTACATTGAGCTCTTGGGATTTATATCCTCCCTGGAATTCTCCATACAGATTACCAATTAACTTTATTATATTTTTTCATTGAATTTGACAGACAAGGTGCTTTGATTTAGTTTTTTTATACAATTTCTTGTGTGATCTAATAATTTTTTTTTCAGATGATAAATTATATAAAAACTGTCTGAATGTTCTTTTTAATCGAGCGCTTTCGGCTATACATTTAACCATTTTCAAGGCTGAATTATATTAACTGCTAACAAGAAATAGATTGTTTTATATTTGTATTTATATAATGTTTTCATTTTCAAAACATGGTCAAGATATTGTGTCCATGTCCATAGTTGATATCATTGAGTTTTTATATAATTTATCATCTGAAAAGAAAAAAATTATTAGATCACATGAGAAATTGTATAAAAAACTAAATCAAAGAACCTTGTCTGTTGTATTCAATGAAATGTGCATGAAAAAAGGATTGCAGCCTAAATACACAAATATATATATGTGTGTGTGTGTGTGTGGTGGATTTTAAATCAGCCCACTCCGCGTTGATATCTGTTTTTGTCTATATTTCTGAGATGAGGTATTATGTACATTATTTACATTATTCGGACTATTGTCCTCATCTTTGTCGCCATATTTATTACAACATTTCAGCTGTTGTACACTCTGGCCTTCTTCAGGTGGTTGGAATGTCGAACTGAACCCTTTATTTCACTCACTGGGGTAGTCCGTTCTAGTTCCATGTGCCATGTTTAATGGATGTCAGTTATCAGTTATCTTCTGTTAATTTCCCTTTGAAAGTGGGTAGTGAGGAGGCACCGTGGAGTAATGGATAGCGGCTTGGATTGAGGAATCAGAGAGCCGAGTTTGAATTCTAGTCGAATCCATTACATTCACTTATGTGCTAATACCCTTGGGAAAGGTATGAATCCTCTTTCTTCTCCCTCCAGCTATGGGTAAATAGCAGGACAGACTGGGTTCTATAGCCTTGGATGGCAACTGGTCTAGGAGAAGGAAAAACTCTGAATTCAAAACCTGCTCTTAGATGAGGGTGAATGGAGTCTCTCTGAGCCTTGGTTGGCAATCCATTTAGTGATGGTGTCACGATAAAAACACCCTTGATAGCCCTAGCGAAGCATCAAGAATTCAGCTATTTGACAAGATTATGAACTACACCAATCAAAGTATTAGTGAGTTCAATCTCGGCTGAGGCTGCAAGATGATGATGATGATTGAACTCGCACTCTTTGGGTCCTGTCATTGAATCTAACTAATGCCTTTATCCACTGTGCCATGTGTCCTTAAATGTGGCACATGGAAGTAGAACAGTCTACCCCAGTGAGCGAAATAAAGGTTTCAGTTCGACATTCCAACCACCTGAAGAAGGCCGGAGCGTATAACCGCCAAAACGTTGTAATAAATATGGTGACAAAGATAAGAACAATAGTTCAAATAATGTAAGTAATGTTCATATCTGTTCTTTTTTTCCCTATTAGCTCATATACCAAACTGTGCTACTATTTCTTTTTGTGATGATTGGTGATATTATATATGTTCCTGGTCTTAGGATTATTGCTCAGAATTGTGAGATGTTGCATAGCAACACTTTAAATGCTCTGGTTGTTCACTCTAACAAATCTGACCACAATTTCAACTTAATAAATGACAGTCTAATCAGGAGAGCAAAGGACTCACTAAAAAAAAAATGTATTAAGAGTGCACTGATCTAACACGTGCTACTACCCTGGGTCAAGTTGGACCTGGGAACAACAGCAATTAAGAGGTGGTTCCACACTCCTCAAAATCTCCCGATCAGAGGCCTTGCTGCCAGATGTAGTTCATCGTCATACCCAGGATGTGCAGAGTGGTTTCAAGTAAAAGAAAATGGACTCAGAAGCTCTCAGGCCAACCCTGCATCTGGCTTCACATTGAGTGCAAAGTCTTTTCTGCATGATCTGTGGTGAGACACACCCTCCAAGCTTTAACCATCTTAATTCTCTCATTAATCCATTTTTTTTTTCTCTCTTTGACAAAAAATTTCCCTCATCCTTCATAAGATCAGAATGACAAAACAGGGGAACATTCAAAGAGTTCAATATCCTTGTACATTCCGGAATAATATTAAACTGGGATCCTTCTGTGAACACAAGTTAGAATGATGTGCCAACACCCTGATCACTATGATTTTAATCTCTTCTTCAAGTTTAGGTCAACTATTATCTATCCTACATATCCTCTTAATATGTACTTCTTACTTCCTCTTTTCCCATTCCTTACAACAGATTCATTCAGTAACCCTCTACCTTGAGTGACTCTTAGGCCTTGTATTGAGTGAACCACTGTATAAAAACTAGACAGATTGGAAATGCAAGGGCTAGAAATTAAAGAGATGTGAAATAGATGAAATATCTATTCTGAGTATAATGCACCCACCAACCACCACCAACACCACTTAAAATCTGTCAGTTTTTTTTTCTTTTACATATGCATCACAATATTCTCTCTCTCTCTCTCTCTCTCTCTCTCTCTTTATGTTTCGCTTCCTTTTTCACACCTCTCTCTGTTTAGCTTTCAATATTCTGGTTTTGATATTTAAGGCAGTTTTGTAGAAAGGTTTCTGCCTTTTGCCCTCCTCCTCCTCCTTTCTCATTTTACCTGTTTGTTCTCCCCTCATAATCAATGTTACCTGCAGTCTCTCTACCTTACTCTTCCCTCTGTCTATTCTCCTCTCTCTTTTCCTACTTCCTATCATCCTGCTACTCATTCTGTATTTTCTCCTCCCCTTCTCCCTTTTCTTTTCCTTCTTTATTTTCATCTACAGCCACGTTTCTTCTTCTCTTCATGCTCTTCCTTATCTCTCATACAACTCCTTCCCATTTTCTTCCCCTCTCTTATATTCTTTACTTACTCTCTGCTGTAACTAGAATTCAATATTTTTTTCTTCCTTCCTCCTCCTCCCTTATCTTTTCTTTCCCATTTTCTCTTTTTGTTCTTTCTACTTTTTCATCTTTTTTTTTTTGCATCTAATTTCTTTCCTTTCTTTCACTCATTTCTTTATTCTATCTCTTTCTTGATAATCTTTTTCTCACCATTGCATTATTTCAACTTTATTAGATTTACCATTTTTTCTACAGATTTATCACGCTTTGTGCATCTTTATCTTCTCCTGCTTCCTTTACTTCTCTTTCCTTTCCCTATTTATTCTCTTCCTCTATTTCCTTCCTTTTTTTCTTTTCTTCTTCTCTGTTCTTTCTGATCTTTTTCAAATCATTATTCACTTTCCTTTCTTCTCTCTTCTTTAGTTTTACCTTCTTTTATATCTCTTTGTTCTTGTCTTTCTTCCAATTTCTTCTTCCTTTCTTTCTATTTAACTTTCTTTCACTTCAGCTTTCTTCTACTTGTCTCTATTCTTTAGCATTCATATTGTTTTTAATCTTTCAACTTGAAGAATTCCTGGTATCCCCCCCCCCAACTACAGATGTTAGTAGAAACAGTACCAGGGCCCTGAATAAAAAAATCAAAAAAAATCAATATCTTTGGAATCTTTGTAGAAGCAGACCTGAGGCTGTCTGCACCAGACAAGAAATTTGCTAAAATGCATAAGAATCAGTAAGAATGAATTGGCCACTGGCAGTTCTTTGAATTTCTCAGCTGGCAATGAACAAAAGACCTAACTTTGTTAGTCTGACCTTTTACAACCTGGATCTTATATTTTCATCTTGTTTCAAAACATTTGCCTTCCAATTTAGAATGAAGTTGTGGAAGCAAAAAAAAAAAAGAAAAGCAGAGTGTCAACTTGTCTTATTTATTTCAGGTAAACAAATTTAGAAATGTCATCCCAAGAAAAATTCTGTATCCAAAATGTGGGGAATCAAGAACAGTTTCTAACTGTAAATAAAATGTGCTGTAAAAAAATAGTATGAAATGATAAAGACAAATTCTTATACAATCTGATGAGGTATTGGGTTGGTGCATAATTATCAGGCGTTTTTAAACAATATTTCTTATGAAAAAAGAAACATAACAATAACATTTTTAAGCGATTATTCCAAGGCATATGATTATCGACATGCATTTTTATAACCTAAAAATAAAATAATATTTTGATTAAAAAAAGTAAGCAAAACAACAAATTTTATTAACAAATAACTTGCCTACAAAAACGCCTAATAATTATGCCTCAACCCAATAGTTTTACTCAACACTGCAAATTTCTACCAAACCAAAACATCAAGCTGAAAACTCGTTTCACATTCTCAAATAACCTTGTCAGATCAAGACTTTAATATGGATGCCATGCATAATGCCAAACCCATTCAGAAATATCTAAACTCTCACCTGTATACAACCACTTCCTAAGATCAATGGCTTTGAGTGAGAAAAGCCTGAAGGTCTTAGTAAAGATCACCTTGCTTTGAGCATTGTGAACTGTTGTTACAGAATCACAAACAAAGAACTGTACCAAATAACAGAAACCACATCACTTGAGGACTACCAACACCAGCAAAAACTAAAATGGATAGCACATGTAATTCAAAGAGAAAATAACAACATAATCAAGATGTTTCACACCACATCAAATAGAAGGTTTGGAAGGAAACGCCCATCAATACTGGAATAAGTGATAAAAGCTACTAGACTTGAGAAACCTGTTTCCTTAAAAAATTGTTTTAAGAGAAAGATATAAATTTCAACCAAAGATAGAACTGGATGCTCAAAGAATGCCAAATGTTTCCTTACAGGGAAACGGCTAATATTACTATTATCATTCTCATTGACAAGACTTATAAGGAAACACAATTAAGTGTAATACATGAAACACAAGCATACCTCACCATACGTCGTTAATTTGTTCCAGATCAGGATACATACAGTATTCTGAATAAATTAATTTCCACCTTATCTTCCAGCGATATTGCTTTATGCTTAGCATTAGCACTTGCACAGGGACTTTCCTTTGTAGTCATGGGTAAAAACGTATTCTAAATCACAACTGAAATGTAATTGATAAAATGTCAATGGCAGAGCACAGATGTAAACAAGTCTGAATTCAAAATAGGTGATGGAGCAGAAAACAATGTATAAATGCCACCTGTCATCAGGAATTTGAAGAAAGAACATTTTATTATGCTAACTTTTATGTTTTTGATTATTTTATGATATTTAATATATATATATATATATATATATATATATATATATATATATATATATATATATATATATATATATAGTATGCATAATATAATTTAAAAATTTATTCAAATATGATTTTATATGTGTTTATTGTTATTTTAGTGTTTGATGTATCTAATATTTTTAATGGCTGAAGTAAACTCATGTAAGATGACCAAAGGTGAGTTTTATTTTTCCATATAATATTTACAAAAAACCAACGTATCATCGAAAATGACTTAACTCAAAATGACTTAAGCCGAGGTATCATTGTACATGAAAATTAATACATGAAAATTTCATGGTTTTCTTATTTTAAATTTCTGATGAATCTTTATTCTTCAGTTAATGATTGAATAAGGTCATGATGAATTCTACAACTATAAAATATCTGTAGAAATTCCCTCAATGCATCATTAAATATTTGAACTTAACAACTTTAAAAAAAAGTATTGCAATAGCAATCATAAATATTAATTTTTGTACAGGAAATGAAGTTACATACAGAGGGATAAAGGCTAAAAATTAAGGAGGGACAAATGAAAAGATTTGAAACTTTTTCCATTTCACTGAAACTGACCATAAACATTTTTATCTTTCCTTCTTTCTTCCATTTTCTCACTGAAACCAAGAAGCATCTTTGATATGGTGATTTTTTAAGTGTAGCTTAGATGTGGCACAAGGCCAAAAGTATTGGACACCCAATAAAGATCAAACTCTCTACTCAGCTGTAATTGATCTAGTGAGGCAAGCTTGCAAACCATTACACCATGTCAAAATGCCTAAAATGATTTTTTAAGTGTAGCTTAGATGTGGCACAAGGCCAAAAGTGTGGAGTATATAGTGAAGATCGAACTCACTACTCAGCTGTAATTGATCTAGCAAGTCAAGCTTGCAAGCCATTACACCATGTTGAAGTGAACTCATGATTTTTTAAGTGTAGCTTAGATGTGGCGCAAGGCCAAAAGTATTGGACACCCAGTAAAGATCAAACTCACTATTCAGTCATAATTGATCTAGCGAGAGAAGCTTGCTAACCATTACACCAGTGCCCATAGCGTCTGTGATATGTCTTTTGTCTTCTCATGTGGTCAAAACAGAATAGTCCATTATTTATGAGGTATTAGCAAGAGACCTTAAACACTTCTTTCACTGAAACCAAGTAGTGTCTCTGATATCTCTTTTATCTTTCCACATAATCAAAACAGAATATTTCATTATTTATGAGACATTGGCAGGGTGTAAACATTGCAGGAGCTAATGAAGGCAGGGACAAGCACAATTATTATATGATGATTGACTGACCGAATTGCTTTTTCGACTGCTTATCAAACTTTTGTAGGTTATTTAAAGACGAAACATATTTTAGGGTTTGTAAGAAAAATGCTTCTTTTCTTTTGTAAGTGAATATTGTATTACCATTTTTTGGTGATAATAATGAAACTCATAGGCATTAACTCTAGTAGCTGGGAATAGCTAGCAGACAATCTCAGCAGCTGGTGCCATGCTGTTCAAGGAGGACTTATGAAGGACAGGAAAAATCAAAACCAATGTTGATCAGAAAACAACACAGAAAGTAGAGAGAGCTACCTCAAACCTTCATTCCACATTCTAGCTTTATCTGCCATGCCTGCAGAAGAGAGTGCCATTCAATGATTGGACTGTTAAGCCACTCCAGACATTGCTCACAAAAGGACTGAATTTTTTATCAGACAAGACACTACCATTATCTTAAATCTCATGAGTTTCAAGCTGGGGAAAAGATAAAGTATTTGTGTATAAGTCAAAATAAGAGATAAATCGATGCCTACTACTATACTGATGAGTTTCAGATAAAATTTCTACTATTTAATCCATAGCTGGAGGGGGGGAAGAAGTGGATTCATACCTTTTCCAAGAGTATTTGTGTATAAGTCAAAATAAGAGATAAATCGATGCCTACTACTATACTGATGAGTTTCAGATAAAATTTCTACTAATTAACCCATAACTGGGGGAAAAGAAGTGGATTCATACCTTTCCCAAGAGTATTTGTGTGTAAGTCAAAATAAGAGATAATGGATGCCTACTGCTATACTGATGAGTTTCAGATAACATTTCTACTAATTAACCCATAACTGGGGGAAAAGAAGTGGATTCATACCTTTTCCAAGAGTATTTGTGTGTAAGTCAAAATAAGAGATAATGGATGCCTACTGCTATACTAATGAGTTTCAGATAAAATTTCTACTAATTACCCATAGCTGGGGGGAAAAGAAGTGGATTCATACCTTTCCCAAGAGTATTTGTGTGTAAGTCAAAATAACAAACACAATTGGAATTCAAACTCATCTCTCTGATATTACATACCAAACACTATCCATTATACTAACCACATATACAAGCTAAAAGCACCTCGTATTCCCAAATGGTTACTCATCAGGTTTGATGTTGATTAAATTTTGTAATTAAACAAGAACTGGTGTTTCAACAGAAGCCATTTAAGTGCATGTGCTGCATCGGAAAGTGAGATGAAAGTAAGTGAAAACAATCCCGATTAAATAACTTTCATCTTATGAAAAATGCAACATGTTTCAATATTTTGACATTTATTAATATCTTCCAAGAAAACACAATTGAAAACAGTTCAATGTTCTGTTTGCAAGGGAAAATTCACAGGAAATAAGTTGAAGTAAAAATAATTTTCTAAAAATGAATTCAGTTAAAATCATCTTTAAACTGAGTGATTTCCTCTCATTGTTTCAGAAATTATGGAAATAAATATTATTTTGAAAAATCCGTAACTTTTTTCTTTATTTAATCAAATACTACCTTTTCTGCATTTATAGAATTTTATTATGTTTTGTGTAAAAATTATGAAATACTGAGGTTTGTTGGCAGCTATCAGTCTCAGGAAATCAAATACTACCTTTTCTGCATTTATAATTTATAGAATTTTATTATGTTTTGTGTAAAAATTATGAAATACTGAGGTTTGTTGGCAGCTATCAGTCTCAGGAAGTAGCATGTAGAAGTGGGGGTAGAGGGTGCAACAGCTCTTAGCATCCACATCAGGAGGGCATCCAATCAAAGAGTGAAATGAAAATTTAGCTTATATTTAATTTGAATAAAGTGCTTATTTCATGTTTCATCTGTTTTTACATTTTTAAAATGTCTGCCTTTCTCATATTTGCCAACATCCTAACTACCATCACTCACAGAATCAGTGAGGCTCTTGACGACAAACACACCTCAAAGACCATAACACTAG